TTTATACAGGCTGTCACCAGCTAAGATTTAAGGTTGATTCTCAAACCTCAAAACTTCTGAGTTTAGGTGAGGCTTCCCACTTCAAATGATTCAATCAAGAAAATTCCCTCACAAGAAAAATCACAGCCTCTTGGGTTTTAGTTAATCAAACATTTTTTTCATCTTTCTTTTGTTTATTTTTTTTTAGACAGGGTTTCTCTGTGTAGCATTGGAGCCTATTTTGGAACTCACTCTGTAGACCTGGCTAGCCTCGAACTTATAGAGTTCTGCCTGCCTGTGCCTTCTGAATGCTAGGACTAAAGATATTTGCATCACTGTCTTGCTTCCCCATCTATTAAAAACAAAAGAAAAACAGAAAGGAGAGTGGGTAAAGAGAGGGGATGAATCTCAAAGAAATTGTATTTGAGGTAAATTTGATAAAAATTAGTTGAACACATTCTCAAGAATTATTAAGAATTTTTTAATATTGATATTTGCTAAAATCACAGATTGATATCATTAATTGTTAAATTACAAAATGAAAAGTGGAGATTTCTATGTTAGTCCTCAGGAGGCAGTATTTTTTTCCTGGTTCTTTCAACTGGAAGGTTCTGCCTGCGCCCCCAACTTTGGGTACTGGGCTCTGCATCATGCCAACATGGTGGACCACAGTCCAGTGCTCATGCTCAATCAAAATACCAAACATGAATCTGGAAGAAAAGTTCAATCTGGAAATATCAATGCTGCTAAGATAATTGCAGACATCATCCAGATATGTTTGGGACCTAAATCTATGATGAAGATGTTTTTGGACCCAATGGGAGGCATGGTGATGACCAATGATGGCAATGCCATTCTTTGAGAGATTCAAGTCCAGCATCCAGCAGCCAATTCCATGACTGAAATTAGGAGGACCCAGGATAAAGAGGTTGGAGATGGAACCACATCAGTAATTATTCTTACAGGAGAAATGCTCTCTGTGGCTGAGCACTTTCTAGAGCAGCAGATGCACCCAACAGTGGTGATCAGTGCTTACTACATGACACTGGATAATATGATCAGCACTCTGAATAAAATCAGTACCCCATTGATGTCAAAAACCATGATATAGTGCTGAACATCATCAATAGCTCTATTACTACAAAAGTCATCAGTCAATGGTCTTTTTTGGCATGCAATATAACCCTAGATGCTGTCAAGACTATGCAGTTTGAAGAGAATGTCGTAAAGGAAATTGACATCAAGAAGTATGCAAGAGTGGAAAAAATCACTGAGGTCAATATTGAAGACTTGTGTGTCTGACATGGAGTCATGATTAACAAGGATGTGACCCATTCACATATGCACCACTGTATCAAGAACCCTAAGTTTGTGCTACTAGATTCTTCTTTGGAATACAAGAAAGGAGAAAGCCCGACTGACATTGAGATTACATGAAAGGAGGAATTCCCCTGAATCCTGCAAATGAAAGAAGAGTACATCCAGCAGTTGTGTGAGAACATTATCCAGCCGAAGCCTGACATGGTCATCGCAGAGAAGGGCATCTCAGATTATAGCTCAGCACCACCTCATTCAGGCCAATGTCACCGCCATTGGCAGAGTATAGAAGACAGACAATAATTGCATTGCTGGAGCCTGTAGAGCATGGATAGTAAGCCCATCAGAGGAACTGAGAGAAGAAGATGATGGTACAGGCACAGGCCTATTGCAAATCAAGAAAATTGGAGATGAATACTTCACATTCCTCACTGAGTGCAAAGACACAAAGCCTGCACCATTCTTCTTAGAGGAGCCACCTCGGGGATACTGTCAGAAGTAGAAAGCAACCTCTAGGACGCAAAGTAAGTTTGCCAAAACATTCTGGACCCTCAGTTGGTACCTGGTCATGGAGCCTCAGAGATGGCTGTGGCCCATGCCTTGAAAGAAAACTTTAAGGCCATGACTGGTGTGGAACAATGGCCATATAGAGCTGTGGCCCAAGCTTTAGGTTATCTCTCGTACCTTGATCTAGAACTTCGGGGCAAGTACCATGCATTTACTTACCTCCCTTCGAGCCAAGCACACACAGGAGAGTTGTGATTCTTGGGGTAGGAAGGGTGAGACTGGTTCTTCAGGGGACATGAAAGAGCTGGGTATATGGGAGCCGTTTCCTGTGAATGTACAAACGTACAAAAACACAGTGGAGAGTGCAGTTCTGCCTCTGCAGATTGATGACATTGTCTCTGGCCACAAGAAGAGGTGCTGGCAAAGTTGTTCTCCAGATGCTGGCCAGGAGTGAGTGGTGGGCAAGGTGACTTCAATGTGCAGAACCAGCAATCTCCACATTTCCTGTGCCAGAGATCCAGGAACACTGTGGACATCTTTGTTTGCAAAGGATCAAGTTGAGGGGCAGCCCGCAGTCTGTCCCATTTCAGTTTCTAAAAAGCACTGACATGTATCTCTTCTCTGTTGTATCCTTTCCATTTAGTTTGCTTCCAATAATTAAATCTAAGACATTTGATAGAAAAAAAAAACAAAACAAAAGGAAAAGCCAAAATATAAGTATACCACAAAGTATTTAGATATAGCGAAGTGTTGTAGCAGAATTACTCTGTATTTTTTAGACAAGTTCCTATTGTATGTCCTAGGCAGGCCTTGAGGTAAAACTCCTCCTGCTTCCACAGCCCATTCCCTAGGACACTAGGATTAAAGGTGTGAGCTACCACACCCAGCTAAACAGGAACTCAGGGAACCTTATTTTGCAGATTTGATTGTGGATACTGGTCATAGATTTAATACAATCTTTCATCCATTTAGAATACTGCTATTTACAGGAGCTCCCCTACAGCAAGCATTATGTGGGCTCACCTACAAAAGCAACATGGGAGGAAGTGGGCATGGTCTTTAGAGAGTATATAAGGACAATCTAGGGGCCAGCCAGGTTCATTCTTCTCTAGACCAGACAGAGTGTGTTTCTGTAACTTCTGGCTCCTAGACTACTAGATCTATCACCACCATACATTGAGTATCATACCCAAGATCTGAGCTAATATTGTATCTACAACTAAAAAGTGCTGAGGCCAGAGACAACTCCTTGGGTGAGTGCACAATTAACAGGTGCAATGTCATTGATATTTTCTAATTTTAATTTATTACCAAACTAAGTTTTCTGCTTAAAAATGCTTAATATTTTGCTATTTATCAAAAGAGATTCTACTCCCATTTGGTCATCTTTCTTCATAAATATACTGTGAATTGCAGCTGTATATAATTTAATTTATACATATACAGTCTTTCATTGCTCTGATGTTCTACTACTCAATTTTGATGTTTTTCTAAATTATAAAACATTTTTAGAGTGTTTCTGATGTACTTCATACATGCAACATGGACATCTCTAAATTATTGTACACATATAATATATAAAAATAAATACTCTGAATGGGTTGAAAATTACTAGTGTTTAGAGATTTGTTATATAAATACTATGTATAAAAGTGAAAACTCATGATTTATCAAAGGAAAATATTTTAGTATTTTTCTGTTGTAAACTTTAGGAAGATATTATTACCGTGTGAAGTAATGTGTAGTCATAGTTTACCATCTTGGTTATTCCTGCTTTTGACTGATTTACTAGGTTAGAAGTATACATGTGATTAAATTAGAGAAAACTAGTCACAATATTCTATTCATGAAAGTTTATTCTAGTTAAAATCAGGTGCAATTTTTCAGTTCTTTGTTCACTTTTCATTATCTCTGTGTATTTATTACATTGGAATTAAGTATCTAATGTACAGAAAAAAATAGGGAAGGAGGGCCATCAGGTAAGTTAAAGAAGGAAGCATTGGAGTCTCCATCTCTTTTCTAAACTAACCTTCACAATGAGTATTAGTGTTGTATTTGAAGTATATAGGACCACCAGCTATGCCATTGATTCCATTTACTTCAGACACCAGAAGCTTAAGTTATTTGGAGGATATTTACCTCAATCAAACCAAGATTCTTCATTTGTGTAGATGTTGAAAGAGAAGGGCAATGGGCACCTGTTGATTAAATAGCCAAATCTCCAGTAGTCATGAGAGCCTCGTTTATGCCTCAAGGATTCATCCCTCAAACTCAACCCAGGAATTGTTATCTTTAGTAAACAAACAAGTTTCCCCAGAGAGTACCCTAGTATGCGACTCTATGGAATTTAAGAAACACAAGGAAACTTCTGTAGATATCTGTGAAGGATTATTAGAGGTAGATTTACTACACTTGGAAAGAACTACACTAATTGCTAATGAGATCACTTGATCATTCCATGGTTTGAGGTCTCAAACTGAAGGAAAAAAGAGAAAAAAACAGGAGCTGAGCAGCAAGTGTTCCTTGTTTTCTGCTTCCTGATTTTGAATGCCTTGAAAACACCTACCTCAACCTCCTACCACCATTTCTATCCTATAATGATGGACAATATACTTGAATTATGAGCCAAAATAATTTTTATTCTTGTTAGATATTTTTAGCTGAAAGAAGACAAGTAACTAATATTGCCTTCAAGTGTCAAGGAGTTGGACAGTAGTATGTGAACCATTAATACACTAAGATCAGAAATCAAGCAAAGGATTTACTTGGGACCATGTGAAGCGGGGAGTGTTTTCTTGGAAAGGCAACAAAGAATCATGTTTAACCTACCTATGTCAGTAGCAAAAGGCCAACATATGGACTTGAAGGAGTTTGATCTCTCCACAGTGTATAATTTTTTCATACTCACTGAGAGAGCATGTCTCAGATCATGAACCAAGGTACTAATTTGGATGGAGTCTCCAGAAATGATGCAGGTGGTAGGCCACAGAAGGTCATTAGATCAATCTATACTTCTGTCAAGAAAAAGAAACAGGAAAGATTAGCAACTACAATTCTATACTAATACTGACTTTTGGTCACCAAAAAATAAAGCTTGTTTTGCCATACACAGAATTAAATCACAACTTGAAGGAAATTTTTTGCAGTCTCTTGCTTCTCTGGGGTCCAATAATAGCAATTCTGTTTTCTTCCTTCAGAAAAATGGAGTCAGACATCTCACAAGCCTTCCAGAAAAAACTGCTTCATCTTCCTGAGCTGCCTGACAGACCCAGTCACCATAAGCTGTGGCCACAGCTTCTGTCGAGCCTGCCTCCACCTTTCCTGGGAAGACACCCAACTTCCTGTCCAATGCCCTATGTGCAGGGAACCATCCCAGAAGAAGGGCTTGAGAACCAACATTGTTCTAAAGAAGCTTGTGTCCATTACCAGAAAAGCCAGCCTATTGAAGGACCTGAGCTCTGAGGAGCATAAGTGTGTGACCCACGAGGATCCTAAGAGGATCTTCTGTGCTGAGAATAGGACCTTCCTCTGTCAACTCTGCTCAAACTCCCATGAGCACGGGGGACACAGACACTGTCCCATTGAAGCAGCTGCTGAGGATCAAATGGTAAGTGATGCTTCTGAGAGAACTTGCAAGCTGGAGAGAGGTAGGCTTAGCAAACCAGAGGAAGATGCTGGTCCTCATTATGACAAAGGCACTGTTTTCAGAATGGTCGTACTTTATTAACATCTAATGAAGAAAGGGTGACTAGGAATGTAAACATCCGTTGGGGGACCCATGAGTATAAAGATCATTTGTATTTTATGATACATTATGCCCAGGTCACTGGAAAGTGCAAAACTGAATTCATATTTTTTAAAAGTGTCTATGACTGGAGACTAAATTAGGAAAAATACTTTGTAGTCAGGTACAGCCAAACATCTGGGAATCCCAATCCTATGCAAATTACCGAGACATTAATCAAAATTATTAATCACTATACCTGAGCGAAGAGGTATGCTATATTTTCTATTTCTATATACTGAAATATAAAATTTAAGTTACAAATAGAAAAAATGAAGGAATATTGTGATCCTTCTACTCTCATTAAAGTAATTGTATTAATTGCCTAAGAGTCTGTTTATCAGTACTGTTTATCAAAAGTTGATATTCATTGTGTTTTACAGGACAGACTTATAAAGCAAATGGCATCTTTATGGGAGAAGAACCAAGAAAATCCAGAGAATATAAAGACAGTTTTAAACTTTGTTAATATATTAATGGTCATATAGAGTACTAACTAATTCTAGAAAAAAGGCTTCAATTAGCTGCCTATATATGTCTTTGTGTTCGAGTCTCTTATCAGTTTTCTGCAGGAAATCATGGCCAGGCTTAACATCAACTGAAGTCTCCAGGAAGAAGATGGGGCCCCACAACAACAATAGTTCCACATGGACAATAATAATATCACTAAGCTGACAAACATCATCTACAGATCAACTTTGGACTACAAAGTGCTCAGAGCAATTTTAAGAGGGCTAGCTGAGATGATCCAGTTTCAAAGACTACTTGAATAAGGACTTGAGATAAACCCTGAACTTTGGCATTATGCACAGACTGGATAACAAAGGATATAGCTACCTTTCCTAGAATTTGACGATTAACCCAAATTTTTTCTTTTTAGAATAAATAACATGTAATGCAATTTGCTGGTCCTTGAATGTTATTATTACCAACTATTAGGATATAAAGAAATGAAAGTTAGTAGTTAGATATTGCAATAGAACTTGTAGTCATATTAGGTGTGTTTTCAAGATCAAGCAGCTATATTCTAGATAGAAAGGTCATCTTCAAACCCTTCAGAGATCTACAGAATATGGCATTTAAAATGTTCTAATAACTTAGAAAATTTTTCTTTTTTGTTATGACTATGAGACATGTCAGCTCCTGGCAATACCAATCTACTTCAGAGAAAATTTGGTTGGAGCCATGTTAATTGGAGTATTCCATTGTTGCAACAGGTCTCAATCCCACAGGTTCATAGCTATGTTAGCCACATATGGTTTTAATTTTCCTCTCTGTCCTTCTGGACCTATACATTCAAGCCATCTTGCACTCTGTTTCACTTGAGATAATATTCCAATTCCTAACAGTTGAATGTTTACCTCCTGAAGAGGCCAAGTTAGATGACAAAATTCTGGTGCAATTATGGTAATGTCAGCAATGTGTCTACCAGACCAGACAACAAAACACCATTTATTTTTATTGTTAATTTAGGTCTTTGTTCATTTATAGAAGTTTGCCAAAATTTTTTTTTTATCATTTCTCCTGAATTTTCTGTTCTCTCTGTCTCAGCTGTTTCATCATCCTGAGAAGCCTGATTTATTCCATTAGGCATTTGGTCATTTAATTGCTCTGAATAGGGGTTTCCTCTAAGACTGCAGGAAAGGTCTGGATTTGCTGTGGGAGCCTGCCTGAGGCCCTTCTGGAAGTTTCCCTAAGTATTACCTTGCCTGTCCCTTGTTGATCTACGTTCATTGTTTCAGTGTTTTTCCTTACCACACCTTCTGCATACTCCAGAAGGAAGGGGCATTCTGTTGCATTTGTTCCTTGAAGAAACATTGTTTCTAGGAATGTCCTGTTTATAGTCCCTTTTTAAATGTCCTTGCTTCCACATCTAAAACATCAAAACTTTTGAAATTGCTTCTCCTATCTACAAGTCATCATGGTCATGAGCCTCAACATTAACCCTGTCTCTAATCCAATCTTCCAAGGGTACAGATCTTGCCTTTAATGGCCTGATTATTCTCTTGCATGCTGCATTTGAATTCTCAAAAGACAAAGATTCAATTATTATCTGACTAGCTTCTGAATTCGGGACCATTCTCTTTACTGCTGAAGTCAGTCTTTGTAAGAAATCTGTGAAAGATTCTTTTAGGCCCTGTATAACTTTTATAAATGACTCAGTTTTCTTTCCTGGTTCCTCAATTCTGTCCCATCCATTCAAGGCTGCCATTCAACATAGAATTAGGGTTTGGTTATCATATAAACATTGTGTTTGTATTGCAGCATATTGGCCTTTTCCAACAAGATGATCCTGGAAGATTTATATATCTTTAGCCCTCCATCGAATTTCTATGCTTTTAGCTTCCTCTTTGAACCACATTTCCCACTGCAGCTGTGCCCGTTTTGCAGAACAGCATTTACCAGCTCTCGCCAGTCCTGTGGTATAATCTTATTACAAGTTGACCAGGAGTTTAACATTTGCTTTACAAATGGGGAACGCATGCCATAAGATACTATTGCCTCCTTAAACCTTTGTAAATCTAACATTTCAATTGGAGTCCAAATATTTAATGCATTAATTTGACCAGGTACCTCCTGTACGATTACTGGATAAATTAAGGGTGATTGTGTGAAAACAGGATTTCTTTCTGTAACCTTATAATTCAATCCTGAAACAATTTTACCATTATTTTCTTCTATCTGAATCTGAATTTCTCTGTAATTCATTTTAACAGGTTTTTCTAAAGCTTTTATCCTGGCACTTAAATTGACTATCTTTTTAAATAATAAAATAAGGATAAGGAAAGTAATAATGTGCATAATCCCATCATCATTAATCTTCTAATATAGTTGTTCCATTTTCAGATTGCCTAAAATTTTATTAAACAAAGCCCAATTTTCTTCCAGTGTACACATAATAACCTTTTTTTATGTGAAAAAAATTTTAAATAGTTTTCTCCTTTAAAATATCTGATATCTTAATTGACTTACCAAATCTGCATAGAACAGTAGAAATCTGAGGGAATTTCAAAACAGCTACCTAGCATCCAAAGTGGGAATCCAAAGAGAGAGAGAGAGAGAGAGAGAGAGAGAGAGAGAGAGAGAGAGAGAGAGAAGAAAAGAAAAGAGAGAAAGAAAGAAAGAAAGAAAGAAAGAAAGAAAGAAAGAAAGAAAGAAAGAAAGAAAGAAAGAGTTGCCACAAGTCACAAGTTCTGGCTAAAAGCTTAAATCCAACCACATGTTCCTGCTTTAGCCGAATCAAGTCTGGGCTCCAGCTTCCTTAAGCTCTGATCACATGTGTTGGCGTTTTGGCCTCAAGGAGCTATATCCGCAGTTGCATGTAGCTGTTGTAATTACAGTCGAGTGCAGCTGACCAGTAGCTCTGGCAGGCCTGAGTTGTGTGTAGCACCAGCATTAAGCAAGTAGCTCCAGCTGTGGTAACTGCTTGTAGCTATGGTCGGTCAGGCCTAGGGCCTAGGCCAAGCTGCCTCGAGATGGGGAACCAGGCCCACCAAGGCCTCCAAGCCCAGCCAAACCAAGCCAAGCTGAATGGTTTTTAATGAAACCTTGCCACATGGGTGCCAAATGTAGATGTAACAGTCTTATTATTAAATAAGAAACATAGAGCCAAATGCAGAGTTAAAAGCCCAAGAGGTCAGAGCAGCAGCCAAGAGCTAAGAACAAGACCATCTTCTTACCCCTGGCTGTCGCTGTCATCCTTCCCCTCACAAAGAGACCTTCTTCCTGTGTATCTATCTTTTTATTGACTTTCTGTTCTGCCTTCTCATTGGTTGTAAACCCAACCATATGACCTCCTCATCACTGCCTGTCTATACAGACCTCCAGGTCTTCTATGGTTGGTATTGAGATTAAAGGTATGTGTCTCCATGCTGGCTGTATCCTTGAACAGACAGATATCTGCCTGTCATGTGATCTGGATTAAGGGCGTGTGCTACCACTGCCAGACTTCTGCTATGGCTTGCTATTAGCTCTGACCTCCCAGGCAACTTTATTTATTAACATACAAATAAAATCACATTTCAGCACAAATAAAATATCACTATAGATGTTCATTCAGCATTATATCACGGTTATTGACATGAATGGGGTACTGATTTTATTCAGAGTGCTGATCATATCATCCAGTGTCATGTAGTAAGCACTGATCACCACTGTTGGGTGCATCTGATGCTCTAGAAAGTGCTCAGCCACAGACAGCATTTCTCCTGTAAGAATAATTACTGATGTGGTTCCATCTCCAACCTCTTTATCCTGGGTCCTGCTAATTTCAATCATGAAATTGGCTGCTGGATGCTGGACTTGAATCTCTCAAAGAATGGCATTGCCATCATTGGTCATCACCATGCCTCCCATTGGGTCCAAAAGCATCTTCATCATAGATTTAGGTCCCAAACATGTCTAGATGATGTCTGCAATTTTCTTAGTAGCATTGATATTTCCAGATTGAACTTTTCTTCCAGACTCACACTTTGTATTTTGACTGAGCACAAACAATGGATTTTGGTCCATCATGTTGGCATGATACAGAGCCCAGTACCCAGGGCTGGGGGATCAGGAAGAACCTTCTGGAGGGAAACAACCGTGAAGAAAACCTCATTATTTGTTTCTTTGTTTTTCCATACTTACTAGAAGTACTAATTTAGTTATTAAGCTTAGAGTATAAAATAGACTAGTCTTAGGAACTAAGGGTCTAGGTTAGAGTTAGAAAGCTCTTTTAAGTATGCTAAGGACCCTCACTTGGATCTAGCATCATAAAAATATGATCTAGCTGTGGAATTTCTTTTAATGCCATCAAGCAGGAGCACAGATATGTATTGTGCTGGCTAATTTAATGTAAACTTGACATATGCTATTTTTATTTTTTGAGACACAGTTTCTCTGTGTAGCCTTGGCTCTCCTCTACACATCCCAAGTACTTTGATTAAAGTTGTATACCACCAACACTTGAAAAAAAAACTCTTTCTCTTTCTCTTTTTTTCTTCTTTCTTTCTTCCTTTCATTTTTGCTTGCTTGCTTTTATTTGTTATTTGAGACAAGGTATTTTTGTGTAGCCTTGTAAGTTCTGGATCAGGCTATAAACCAAGGTGTTCTTGAATTCACAGATATCTCCCTGTCTCTGCTTTCCCAGTGCTGGGATTAAAGGCTAATGTCACCACCACAAGAAAGATCCCCCTCTTTCTATTTGGGTTGGTTCAAGAACAGGTTTCTCTCTGTAGCCTTCTCTGTTACAGAACTTCAACTGTAGACTAGGCTGGCCTCAGACTCAAAGAGATCTGTCTACTCTGCCTCCCTGGGGCTAAGATTAAAGGAATGAAAATCTGCTGCTGGCCCACAATTCTTTTTTTTTTTATTAAGAAAATTTTTCATTCATTTTACACACCAATCAAAGATTCCACTCTTCCCTCCTCCCACACCCCAGCCTCCCCATCCCAACCCACCTACCAGTTTCCCCAAAAAGAAGGCAAGGCCTCCCATGAGGAGTCACATCCAGTAGAGTCAAATCCAATCCCTTGCCCCTGTCTGAAGATTGCCAAAGGTTTTGCATCATAGATAGGGGGTTCCAAAAAGCCTGCTCATGCACCAGAAATGGATTCTGATCCTACTACCAGGGTTCACCCCCAAACAGATCAAGCTTCACAACTGTCTAGCCATGCAGAGGGACTACTCTAGTCCCATGCAGGCTCCATGGTTATTGATGCAGCATTCATGAGTTCCCACTAGTTTGGTTTAGTCATTTCTAAAGGTTTCTCCATCATGATCCTGATACACTTGCTCATAGAATCCCATATCTCTCTCTTTGGCTGGACTCCTAGAGCTCAGCCTGGTGTTTGTCTGTGGATCTCTG